CTGAATATAGCAATGTTTCCATTGTTCAGAGCACAAAATTATGACTTCCTGGAAAACTATTATTATTATTATCATCACTAAGATTAAAATGATTAAAACCGGGGAAGCTACTGCAACTATTTTTTCCTACATAATAATTGTGCCTCAGAATGTGCAGATGAAACGCAACAGCAAACGCCGTCATGTTATCTTGTGTTGCATGCAGTTGTGTGAGATTTTTGGGAAGGTAATAATACCAAATCATTTTGATGATAGACATTTCAGAATGACTGAAACAATATTTGAGATGGCTGGTTCATCTAATAACATGATCTGTTAGTCACATGAGTTTTTTTGTTTTTTGCACATCAAAGAATTTATTCAGTAAATGTGTTTTCACCGTAGTTTATGCCCATGTTTTCTTTTTGGATAAAGAAATCATCTGCCTCAATTGCGTGCATGTGTTATTATGCACATTTTAAGATTTTATGCACTGGATACATAATTTCCATCCAGCTTTTTTTAATGCCATATCCCAAAATTTGCATAAAAATGTGGATGGAAACTACTAGTAGCTTCTGAAGTGGGTTACGTACGTGGCATGGCCTTCAAGCTGGCATTCAGAGTGCCTGTTTGAACTGGTGCGGTTTTATATGGTCCTTCACTACAGGCAGTGTTGCAGGGGTTGTTGGTCTCCATGAAGACGGCATTATGGGTGCTGTTGCTCCTGCTTTTCCTCTGCAGGGCTTTCTGTATCGAGCTTACATCTGTAGGCATGTTAGCCAGCTGGTGAAAGAGGTTGCGTTTGCGGATGATGCCGTACACCAGGTTAAAGTTACCTGATTTTTAGAAACAGAGTTGAATACAAACGCTTATAAGAATTACAATAAACATTCTCAACAGATATTTGAATATGTTTGTACAGTCTGTGCTGCAAAGTCCAAAGTTGCAGGATTGCGTATGAAGGGTTGCTGCAGAAATCATGTTATATGATAAAATGATATGCATTCAAATAAACAGACTTTTGCTGCTTCCAATTTCTTATTTTATTTGTCATTTAAAGGGAGAACTGCCACCATGACTGTGCTGACTGTATTTACAGCAACGACGAAGCTTCAAAAGTAACTTACCATCGAACTGGTACTGAATGATGTTGTTAAAAACTTCTAGCAAAAAGAAAACCAGGTGATGGTTAACAGGTGAGCAGAACAGGAACCAGAGGCTTGAGAAAACTTCTAGCAGATGTAGTAGTTTGTTGGCTGCTACCATAGACAGACTTTTCAGGTAAGGAGACACTGAAAGAACAACAGCAATGATTTATCAGGAAGTGAAAACGATCTCTTGAAATGTATGTGCATTTCTGTGAGGAAACTCGCATACCATTGACTATAATAGTGAGCAGACAGTCATACAGGGGCTGCAGTCGCGGATGTCCACTGGTGATGATCTTATGGAAAACCTGTCAATCATAAAAAAATTGTTTGCATTTTAATGCTCATGCAAATCAATTCTTAAATCTTATTAGTTTATATTACCAGGAATGCATGAACTGAAAAGATGCACACATTGAATGCAACGCAAGTTGCTTTGGATAAAAGCATCTGCCAAATGCATACATGCAAATATTAATTAAGGATGCATTAAGCAATTGTGGTGCATGTAGTTTTAAAATGAAGCTGCATGAGTGAGACTGGACAACTTTAGAAAATCGGAAGACTTAAATTAAACTTTGGGTCTGTTCTTTACAAAAAGCTATAAAATTATTTCAAAATACATGCAATATTGTGCACAAGTCATATGGACTACTTTAAATGTGCTTTAATTCAGTTTTGTTTGTAGCTTTTAAAATCTCCATCGTCTCCAATATGATGTGACAAAGTCACATGAACGTATCAGTGTTCATCTCACCACTATCAGCAGGTCGGCATGAGTCCCAGCGAACACTGAAATATCCATCGGCACTCGCACACTGTACGGTTTATTCAGACGCACCCCAAAATTCCTCTCTCCACTTAACAGCAACAAGATGAACACGCAGATATGTACCAGACCGACACGTGCTGCGAACAGATACATATACACACTGACACATATGCCTATTTTTATCACACCCAGTTCATAACAATAAGACAACACTAAAAATTTGCAATATATTGAATTAAGATCAGAAAAGTACAGAGAAATTTTTTTTAAATATGCACTCGTGAATTTTTCAAACCATTATATTATTTAACTACAAATGTCTCTCAACGTACAATAAATAGAAACGTAAATTTATCTTGTACGTGTAACAGTGAATGCTCCAGATACTCACACTGATTGGTGCGAGCGTCATTCAGATAGAATAGAATTGGTACCAGAACATCCAGCACATCACTGCTCTTCAACACATAGAACAGGAACTTCTGAAACACAGAGATGAAGAAATGTGAGAACAGAATAAATTTTCTACAAACTGCATAAGAATTGTAAAAATAAAATAATAATTGAAAAATATGAAAATATTTTTATTTAACATAAAACAAATATTTTATTTCGTATTTAATTTTATTTTACAATAAAATTATCTTATTTTATATTTCATAAAAAAAAATACAATAAAATAAAATATAAAATGACACAAGGTGGCACCTTGTTGAGGTCACAGATTTTCCAGAAAAGCACCAGCAGCTCCTGATGAAACTGGATTTTCTTGCAGGAATGGGGCAGGTATGTCTGCAGCAGGGGGTTATTGAGCAAAACGTAAAATCCTGAGGTGTATAATGGTGCTGAAATTCAAGTTAACAAAATGCCAACAGCCAGGGAAACAGGCAGGCGGGAAGAGGAATAGCCCTAATTCATTATGTTGACCTTTAACTGTGAACATTAACATCTTTCTCTCTGTCTGGCCATGTGTAAAATTCCTCTCCATGAACGTGAATGCAGCCCTGGACTCCCTTTAAAGACTCAGCAGTAAAACTTACTGCTCATTAGAAATGTAGCACAGCGCTTGTCTGTACTCTAGACATATTGGAGCCGTGATGCTCAAATGGGTGATGCAAAGTCTGTTTTGTCGATCCCATTATTGATTGTTCCTAGTAGTGGTAAAGCAAAATAATTATGCTCTCAGCTACCAAGAATAGTGTATTACTCAGATATTTTTTCATAATAATAATAAAAAAATTGCTACGGAATGACTTAACTTTTTGGGTGGTGTTACATACCTCTCCTCTCCAAACACCTGACTCCATTAATTAATCTAAAGCCCATGTTTCATAATCCATAATTCATAATCAACTCCTGATGGATAAAATCAAGTGCCTGCCATACATTTTTCTTGCTGAATATTTTGTTTTACTCAGAAATAGGATGGAAATAAGCAAAATGTCTTAAGTTAAACATGCTTTACAAATACAAATCCGTTCCATGAATGATTTGGAAGATATATGGAAAGGCAAAAACATTCTGTCAATTCCATGACATCCAAATAAAAGCTATAAAAACTATAAAAATCAAAGTGATCCTCTCTTCTACACACACACTTTGTGAATCATGAATTCTAAACGCTGAGTTATTATGACTCAAATTGCAGTTGCTTCTCTTTGTGAACATGTTTCAGTAACAGATCTGGTTCAGTCAGAGATCTGGAGGGACTGATGCAGAACACTAATTAGAGAACAGTGAGGGTGTTCACAGAGCAGAACATTTAGCTTCCATTATTAACCTGGTCAGGAGATAAGAGGCAGGTTATTTAGATCTAATTACCTAATGACTTGATAAACAATACAACACTAGTGCTCACTCCTAAAGCCAGTTCTAAAAAAGAATAGAAAACTGTGCCATTATTCACTTTCCCTCATGTTTCAAACACATATTATGATATTTTCCTTGGAACACAAAAGTATACATTTTTTGAAGAATCTTGATGCAGTTTTTTTCCCCTATGTAAAATAAAAATAACAGCAAATGATTTTGGAACAACATGAGAGTGAGAAAAAAAAGTTAATATTTGGTTAAAGATTCCAGCTAGATTGAGTTGAATGCTTCAGATATCCATGACATAGCAGATTATTACAGCATGCTTTCATCTGTAACGCCTCTGTATGCAGAGTTTAGTATTTAATATAGGCCTAATACTTTTAAGCAGTAATAACAGTAGCAACAGAAAATCATCACTCAAGAAAAAATTGCATTGTTCTCCTGGGTGACCTTTATTTTAATTAGTCCAGGACAGTAAATATGCAAATAAAACAATCCAGATATCCATCAGTGAGAGCGGCTGGGTGGAGGGCTAAATTATCTTAATGCAGATGTGATCTGATACAGGAGAACACAGAACTGCCATCCTGTTAATGAAACTGAATATGCCAAAACATAACCAGACCTGAGAGCGTTGTATATCATATTAATTATTTTAATAATGTTTAAACTCTTAAAATTACATGTTTCAGGTAGAACCAAATAACCATTTAAATGCATTAAAAATGAATAAATAAAAGAAATGTTCACATGCTAAGATTTTCAGATTGTACACTGCCAGCAAAATATAAACTGTATTTCTACACAATGTGTTTTTGGTGGAGTCTGACCCATCAGAAGCTTTACAGATGTTACTATACTAGGTATTTCTGAAAAGACCATGGCTAGAATTTCAATAGCAACCGCCTTCTAGAATTCGACTTATCAGATATTACCAAAATTTAAACATAAAAAAACTCTATTATTATGTAATTTGGTGTCTCGAAATTTTAAATCTTAAATTAAAATGTTTTAAAGAATAAACACATGAATAATTATTTAAAATATATATATTCTACATAAATGATTCACGCATCACTCACCCTCGTGCCATCACCAGTCTGAGTGCGTCCAGGTTGCCGTGGTGCGCGGCCCAGAGCGTCGGCGTCATTCCATCCTCATCCGGTGCGTTCAGATCTTTGCGCGTCGCCTCTTTCAGCAGGTGCAGGTGACCGTCTCGAGCCGCCCGGTGGTATTTGTCGTTCATGGCGGCGGCTGAACCCTCTGACCCGGCTCACGGACGGTCATTTGGCGTGCATTGTGCGGGTATGGCGAGATTTCACGTGCGCTTCTGGCGTCTCCACTCGAGGAACTGCAGGCACGCTCGAGCGGTTGCTATGGGAGGATCCCTGGGATGGCCACGCCCACTTCCGATCAGCGCACACCTGACAGATGAGAACTCGGTGACACATTCGGGTAAAATCACACTCTAGTATATTACAAGAATGATAAATATTGATGCAGGATATAATGCAACGATTTGACACGACTGCCCGTTATATTTAGGTAAAAACAAAACGAGCCAGTGGTATGAAGGACACTGCAGAGTTTCCAGAAAAGCACCAGCAGCTCCTGATGAAACTGGATTTTCTTGCAGGAATGGGGCAGGTATGTCTGCAGCAGGGGGTTATTGAGCAGCCGGCCGATTCCTCGCAAAATGAAATGAAAATCCTACAGGCAAAAGACATGCATTTTAGAAAATACATGGGTATTATTAGAAACATAATATGTGAGGATACTGATCATTTACAGTGTTTAAAGGTCTATTACATGTGTAGGGTAAGAGGGCTGTTGCTCTTGATTTGGGGCGGTTGTGAAGTGTTTGTGTATCTCACCTCTTCTCTATGAATTCGAGACAGGTAGTTTACAAACAGGTTTTCGCCTCTTGTTGTCTGAAACATATCATGAGGAAAAATCTGATACTCAAGCTGAGCGTATGAAATTCTGAACTATCATAATACTGAACACAGGCGAAATGTACAAAAATGATGCTGCTTTTTCACACAAGAATGTATGCTTTTTAATGAAATGTCAATTATTTTTAATTCAGCACTAAATCCAGCAAAAAAAGAAGACAAATTTTGTATTTACTATGCATTAATTGTGCTTACAGTATCATGCATGTTTCGTTGCAGGATTAATGCATGTTTAATTCATTGAGCGGAATTGATTTATCACCTGGCAAATAAATAGTTTTTGCATTTTTAACTCAATTTTGTTTTGAAACATTAATTTTTGGAGGTCATCATAGTTGACATCAATTTGCATTGTGGGATATTGTATTTTACGAAAAACAAAATTAGTTTAGGCTCGTCTAATGCTTTTAAATGGTAATAATATTTAAAGACATTCACAGAGCATTTAAAAGTAACAATCCCATCATGTTTCAAAATGATAAAATGGAATGTTCCCTTAACGTTTGCATAACATTTTTAACACATTAAAAAAAATTGATTTAAATGTTTAGAAAACATTCAGAAATAACTTAATGGAAACATTAGCAAAACATTCAAATAACTTTAAAACAGTCAAAATATTCAGTTTTTTAAATGTTCAGAGAACTTTCAGAAAGTTATAACCTAATGTTAGAAAAACATTCTTAGATTTTTTTTAAGCTGCGATGCTATACTGCACACATTAGTGAGTCTTGTTACCTGACATCCCTCAGCAGTTGAGTTCTTGTTGTAATCAGCAGAGCAGGTGTCAGTATTGGTGCTCAGGGTCGTGTTGGTGTTTGAGTTATCGACGAGCTCTTGCTCCAATGAAACGATCAGAGTCTGAAGCGCCAGCTCTGCTAGCATCCCCCGCTGGTCAGAGAACATCAAGTGATTGTACGGGATGCCGTACCCAACTGGATCATACGCACATACCACGTTAAGAAGAGAGGTGAAGAGCGGCAGGGCATGTAATCCCATCATGTTTCAAAATGATAAAATGGAATGTTCCCTTAACGTTTGCATAACATTTTTAACACATTAAAAAAAATTGATTTAAATGTTTAGAAAACATTCAGAAATAACTTAATGGAAACATTAGCAAAACATTCAAATAACTTTAAAACAGTCAAAATATTCAGTTTTTTAAATGTTCAGAGAACTTTCAGAAAGTTATAACCTAATGTTAGAAAAACATTCTTAGATTTTTTTTAAGCTGCGATGCTATACTGCACACATTAGTGAGTCTTGTTACCTGACATCCCTCAGCAGTTGAGTTCTTGTTGTAATCAGCAGAGCAGGTGTCAGTATTGGTGCTCAGGGTCGTGTTGGTGTTTGAGTTATCGACGAGCTCTTGCTCCAATGAAACGATCAGAGTCTGAAGCGCCAGCTCTGCTAGCATCCCCCGCTGGTCAGAGAACATCAAGTGATTGTACGGGATGCCGTACCCAACTGGATCATACGCACATACCACGTTAAGAAGAGAGGTGAAGAGCGGCAGGGCATGTCTGACAGAGAGAGAGAGAGAGAGAGAGAGAGAGAGAGAAAGAGAGAGAGAGCAAACGTTAACTGCTGCATCACCAACGAATGACAACAAATGTGTGCATATGTGCTTACCGGTTTTCTCTAGAGCAAAAGAACGAGACCCAGGGGTTGAGTGTGTGTGTGTCAGATGGAGACTGGTACATTTCTTCTGAGAAACACGTCAATAAAAGCTTCAACAATTCTGCCCTGAGAGTGAGAAAAAGAGAGTGAAAGGCATAGAGAAATAATACTTAATGTTTTTAATCATCGAGGATGCAATAAACTGATCAAAAATGAGAGCAAAGACATTTATAAAGTTACAAAAGATTTCTATTTTTTTAAATTTTTTAAATGCTGTTCTTTTGAACTTTCTATTGATTAAAGTCAGATGGAGACTGGTACATTTCTTCTGAGAAACACGTCAATAAAAGCTTCAACAATTCTGCCCTGAGAGTGAGAAAAAGAGAGTGAAAGGCATAGAGAAATAATACTTAATGCTTTTAATCATCGAGGATGCAATAAACTGATCAAAAATGAGAGCAAAGACATTTATAAAGTTACAAAAGATTTATATTTTTTAAAAATTTTTAAATGCTGTTCTTTTGAACTTTCTATTGATTAAAGAGTCCTGAAAAAATGTATCAAGGTTTCCACAAAAATATTGGGCAGCACAACTGTTTTTAACATTAATAATAATTAAGAATTGTTTCTTAAGCAGCAAATCAGCATATTAGAATGATTTCTGAAGATCATGTGACACTGAAGACTGGAGTAATGATGCTGAAAATTCAGCTTTGATCACAGGAATAAATTAAATTTTAAAATATATTCAAACAGAAAACGGCTGTTATATATTGTAACAATAATTCACAATATTACTGTTTTTACTGTATTTTTGATCAAATAAATGCAACTTTGGCGAGCATAAAAGACTTCTTTTGAACGGTGGTGTTGGTCCTTATTTAAATAAAAAAAAAACAACAGTTATTTTTCCCAGTGCAATCAGCAAGAAAAAAAAAAGTTCTTCAACTTTTAGAGCAGTGGTTGATGGACAGGTGAGTAGGCGGTCCTACATGGTTGTCATGGACACATCAGGATGGATTAGATTTATAATACAAATGTAATGTGGTCACATGCAAACTACAACCAGCTGTAAAGTAGGTCAGAATGTATAATAAGTACACAAGAGGGACAGGGCAGTATGAAGCGGGCGGATCTCTTACCTGTTGGAGTCATGGGTGTGATTGAGAGGCGGAGTCTGAGCAAATCCAACACCAGCTTCCCAGATTAACTCACAGCTGTCTATAGACTGGATATCAGAAGGGCCATCCTGAACATACACATAATTTATGTCAATAAAATAAGCTATTTATTTATTTTTCCAAATTTAGATGGACAAAAATTGCATTCCTGCTTAGGGTTTCTCAAACTGGTGTTCACAAACCCCTGGAAGATTGTGAGGAAATGATAAAAACTTAAGAATTAATGAAATTATATGTAAAACAAAAAAATCACAAACAACAACAATTTACTGAAACAGTAAAAATTACAAACATTTAGTAATTTTTTTTATGTTTTATTAAAGTTATTTAAGTTATTTATGCAAATATGTTGTCAGATTACTGAAATATTAACTTAAAATCTCAGGGGTACTTCAAGTATTTAACATCTAAAAAAGATTCAGCTGACAAAACATACTGATAAAATCTTTACCCTAAATGCAGCGCAAGTTGCTTTGGATAAAACAAATCTGCCGAATGCATAAAATGTAAATGTCCAAACACATTTTCTACAAATTTCTTCGTGTTGTCTGTGCAAACATTTGAGACTTCGATGCCTCTATTTGAATGAGCAACCATTTTGTTGAACGGTGGTTTTGCCAATTTTATGTTTCATGTAATGTTCTAGATGACATTTCAAGACATGAACTACTGCTGGTCACTTCTGCGTCATTCTCCTGGACTTAAGCAGGTGTTTCTTGGCCAGACTAAGTAATATGAATCTGATTTTATTAGTCAAAAGCTCTGCCAGATTAGGAAGGATTGAGGGTTACCGCACTGGTCCTGCTGTGGCTCTCGACAGTGAAGTCGGGACAGAAAAGCAGATCAGATATAGCTGTGAGGAGAGACTCTGCCAATGGCCGCGTGCTCTCGTCATCGCTTTCATCCTACATCAACACAGACACACACCAAATCAGTCTGTCATTCGACAAAGAAAGCATGTTTTTAATCACAAAAGCAGAAAATTCATGCATTCCTTTTTTTTTTTAAACAGTGCAAACTTCAAGACTTCAAACTCGTCTGACAAGCGTTTGAGGAGCTATTGGCTTTCTGAAGAGTTTCAGGCACACAATCACTTCATCAATACACTCATTCTGCTCCCTTCATCTCTCTCTGCCAATGGCCGCGTGCTCTCGTCATCGCTTTCATCCTACATCAACACAGACACACACCAAATCAGTCTGTCATTCGAAAAAAAAAGCATTGTTTTAATCACAAAAGCAGAAAATTCATGCATTCCTTTTTTTTTTTTAAACAATGCAAACTTCAAGACTTCAAACTCGTCTGACAAGCGTTTGAGGAGCTATTGGCTTTCTGAAGAGTTTCATGCACACAATCACATCATCAATACACTCATTCTGCTCCCTTCAGCTCTCTAATCAGGATATTTAATACGCCGTCGATCTTTGAGACAGACACAATCAGAGCAGTGTTTAGGCTGGTAACAGGAGACCGTAAAAATGCACCGCAGAACAAATTCTCTCTCACACACACACAGCTCATGTTTTAAATAAAAGTCCAAGCTAGGCAAAGCTTTGCTGTGTATCTTCTTAAAACCTGCTTGCACAGCTCATGTTCGGCGGTGACGTTCTGGGAGTGTGTGCAAACTGCATGCTTTACTTGCATATTCAACCATTTGGAGAGGTAAGAACTTTATTAACCACTCTGAAAGCAATTTTGAAATTTCCCTCACCACAGTCTTGCCCGCTTTTGGCACAGTGGACCAGAAGAATCCACGCCAGTCTGGATCCTCGAAGATATAAGGCAGAATCCGAGTCAACAGACGAATGCAGCTCAGTACAGTCTGTCTGTCTCTCTCACACACACAGCCCGAGTCGGCGTTCAACACGAGCCTTTCCACTGCCTGCAACACACACACACACACACTTTAAAGGTGCACAATGTTTTAAAGCTGAAGAAATGATTAGTACTTCAGAAAAGTCAATTGATCTAAATACATTTTTGAACCCGTTACTGTTCAAAAATAGTCTACAATTATGCAATCCTTTCTGAAATGAGTGACAAAAAATATTGACCTTTTTCATGATATTCAAATTTTTTGAGATGTACCTGTATATTTCTTTCAACTTTTCATGCTGCAGTGGTTCATCAATATGTGTGCATATTCATGCTTATCAAGACAATTCAGTCCCAAATGTAAATGTAACATATGTGAAAGAGCCTAAATATATATCGCGTAAAAAATATTTTAGAGACAAATCTAATTCACAGATCAAATAAAAATCATGAGAATCATGCATAAAGCCTCAGTTGATACCTGTGTGAAAAAGGACCCAAACTATTTTTTTTTTAAATCTAAAAATTGTGTGTATTTCTGACACATTTCCAAAATCTGGTTCCTGTACTAATAACAATGCATTTTTCCTGATATTTTTTTATGCATCACTTCCAAGTCAAAACAGACCTAAATGCATGCATGTTTACACAAGAGTCATATTATTAGGCTACAAAGCATTTATTTTATAGCATATCATAGGTCCCCTCCCATGCTGAGATCAAATGACCATATTTTTTCTCATCATTAACCTCCATTATGTGACACAGGCTGTACCTTGTAACAGAGGGTTGCCAGATTGGACGGAGACTCCTCTCTCACAGCGCGGATCTCAGCAGCAGGAACCAGAGCAAAAATATCCTGTGCTGTCAAGTTGACTTCAGTCCAGAACTGGTCCCAGAACACATCCTCAGAGGCCTCTACGGGCTACAAAATCACACAAGGGTCCATTTTTAAAAGTCAAGATTAAAAAAGCATAACCTTTCAGAATAAATGCATTGAGATAAGATAGTGGCATCTTCGGTCTATAGACATCTTCTCCTGTATCTTCTTTCAATTACTTTCATTATTTGTCAATTTTTTTTTTTTTTTTAATTTTCTAACAAAATACAAAATATATAATTTTTCCTTTATTTATTTTTTAACATTCTTTGATACAGGAAAGGGTGTTGACAGAATTAATTAATGCGATTAATTAATGTAAATTCCTCATAAACACAATGTTTTTACTGAGAACAATTAAAGCAGGTCCGCTTCAACTTAAATGCATGAGCATCAGCCGTAAAACTCAATAAGAAACGAGAAAAGCAGACTGAATGGAATTAAAACAAACAGCATGACTGCACACAGCTGTCATGTTTTAAGTTTTTGATTCTCTCTAGTGCATAGGCTATATCTGAATGCTTTGACATTAAATGATGAGTAAAAGCTTAATTTAACATTAAAAGAAAGTTGACATCTTCAGATGCTTTCATATCATTTGCAGTGGTAAGTGGTGATTTTATTTATGTCTGTGTTACTGCATTGTTGCATTTAAAGACCCCGTCTATGTTTGGAAAACAATACTATTCTTTTTCTGCAACATTAATATTTGAAAAATTATGTTTTATTTTTTTATGCATACAAATACCTGGATGACCTACTGACCTAAATGTTATTATTAATTTTACATAAATTTATGTCACATGTTATTTGTGCTCACACTTTATTTTTATTGATTGCAACATTTATTGGTGCAATTAACTTATTGTTAATGCATTTAATGTAGTTTTTACTCTTTAAACTTTAACTCCTGTTGTTACAACCAAGGACAACCTTTTTTGACTGGCATAAAGAAGAGGTAATTAAAACATTGCAAACATGTAAATTACATTACATGATTAACATTTTATTTATTAGCACTACTTTTCTTCCACAGACAAAGTTTGTCCTGCTAGTTGTGTGTCTGATCTCCTCATGTTTGTCTTTAAAATGGAAAAATGGAGAGGTATGTGTATTACTTAATATTGTGTTGAATTGTCTTTGTTTCTTTGACTACCAGTTGATTCACCAATGACAACTGGTCTTCATAGAAACGGTTGCTCACAAGCCTCCATCCACATACTCTGCATATTTAATATATCTGTTTTGTTCTAATGCATTGCAATATTTTTGTGCCATTGGAACAAGATATAATACATTTTTATATGCAAGACAGATTTGCTGTAAACATAACATTAAGTATAATTTATCAGTTATCAATTATGTTATTGAATTTTTTATATGTACATTTGTTGCTAAGAATCTCACAGGAATGTGATCCGTTTTTAGGTCAACATATACATATTGTTTTCATTATAATATCAGAGCAACCAGTACACAACAGAACTGCACAATGTAGTAAACTGATTAAATGGCAAGCAAACCATAGTTACACTCTTACATAATTTTAAAAGAAATTACAAACTGGTTTAAGTTATTGTTTAGAGATTACTCTTGGTTCCAGTAATGATCCACCCACATGTATTAATAAAGGCACCGATGAGATTGTGAGAGCTGCAGATCATCATCACTGTATTCAGCTGCTGAAGAGAGAATCTCCCTGAGTTTGCTCTGCAGCAGCATTTGATCTCAGGTAAAGTTATTTCTCTTCATTTCATCACATTGTGTTCTGGTTGTATGATTTATGGAATAGATGCAGTGAAGTTTTTCATAAATTGAAAAACTGACTTGGACTGAAATCATTTTATTATGTAAGTATAGAGTGAACAGTGATACAAGAGACCTCAAGGTGGCAGTATGGGATGTTGAATGCAAGAATGGTAGTTTACAGAAGTTTCAAGTTTAGTACAGATTATACAAAACGTTTTTAATTGCAGAAAACCACAACTGATCATTCAGAGTCTAGTTGTTTTGTTTTATAGGTCATGCTTAATTTAACATTAAAAGAAAGTTGAAATGTCCAAACGAGTGTATAAAGTTTAATATTATTAGATATTATAAGAACAATGTTTTCCATCTGTTACACTTTAACAGCGCTTTGGAACATTTTTAACCCTACACAAATGCTTACAAAAGTCACATAAAATAAACCTGACCTGTGTTTTGGTAGTAAGTTGTATCACCGCTTTTCTGAAGTGCAGTTTGGAGTCTGAATTACCCATCTCACTCCGATCTGTCCACCGCGCACCTGTGCGTGGCGCAGGTGAAAACGACGCCGAATTACCAATCCTACCACGGCAAAGGTTCAGCTCATGAATATTAATTACGCTGTACGGACGTTGACGTGAAATTCGCCAGCTCCCTTGGCACACGTTTCAACCGTCAGCCAATCAGATTGGCCGATTGAGCGAACATCACCTTATGAATATACATGAGACTAGGCTTAGTAGTAGCCAATAGCCATAGTAGAAATCGTTTGTTCGTGACCAGGATGCAAGCAAAGTCTTTTTTTTTCCGGGTGTGTAAAGTAAATGTTTGCTCAACGATTACTCTTTAAATGTTGAGTGCCTTAAGCATTCCGTGAATTAACGTTAAACTGCTTCTTTAAAGGCGCGGCCAGCATTGAATACAATGGACGGTGTCCTCAGAATAAGCGTTTCCTTTATTAGACTGCTCATTAGATACTTTGTGATTTAAGTATAAACATACAGTAAACACACAATAATATTTTCTCTTTCCCCAGTGGAAGTATATGTTTCTCTTGAAGGTGTTTAACATTCTTAGTGAAAAACCACCTGGTGTAACTGTGGATATTGTTTCCTGCACCATTATTTGAATGGTGCTTTTAAATACATAGAGTAAAATCTATAAATTTGTTGTATTTTAGATACTGACAGCATAGTTATTGGATAGAACTGAAATGTGTATACTTTACTAGGAATGTAGAAATACTTTTGGATGTTGCAAGGCAGAGTTTGTGTTTTCTTTATGTTTCATATGAAGCCTAACATTGCGTGGTTGCAAATTACAGATTTACCTCATTCATTGCAATTTTGGGTTTTTAAGCTGAGATTCAGAAATGGTAATATGACTGTTTTTGTTTTGACATTTCAAAAATGGCAAAAGAAGCAACGTCAGATGACAATATTTGGCCAGTTATTACAAGCAAAATATGTTTAAATGCATTTTCAAATCCATCATTTTCAAATCCAAAATTCATTCAGAAAAACATTTACATGCTTTACTTGGAACAGTCTTGTTTACATGTAATTTTGCATAACTGAAATAAACTCATGCATGCATGCTCATTTCATGCTATTCTTTTTAGTAACTGCTGGTGATGTTCATTCTTACTGTTAATTATTCTCCAAAACAGTTTGTATCTAATATCACCCAGCATTTCCTGTGTTTGGACATGTGCAAAACACATTATAAACCAAGAAAGAAAAGCTCATCTGATTACTGTAACATGTTACACCCCACACTGAGCAAGAGGAAAGATGATCCAACAAAAGCAGTCAGCGTATTAAATCCAAGAGGCATCTTCAGATGCTTTCATATCATTTGCAGTGGTAAGTGGTGATTTTATTTATGTCTGTGTTACTGCATTGTTGCATTTAAAGACCCCGTCTATGTTTGGAAAACAATACTATTCTTTTTCTGCAACATTAATATTTGAAAAATTATGTTTTATTTTTTTATGCATACAAATACCTGGATGACCTACTGACCTAAATGTTATTATTAATTTTACATAAATTTATGTCACATGTTATTTGTGCTCACACTTTATTTTTATTGATTGCAACATTTATTGGTGCAATTAACTTATTGTTAATGCATTTAATGTAGTTTTTACTCTTTAAACTTTAACTCCTGTTGTTACAACCAAGGACAACCTTTTTTGACTGGCATAAAGAAGAGGTAATTAAAACATTGCAAACATGTAAATTACATTACATGATACATTTTTTTTAATTAGCACTACTTTTCTTCCACAGACAAAGTTTGTCCTGCTAGTTGTGTGTGTCTGATCTCCTCATGTTTGGTTTTAAAATGGAAAAATGGAGAGGTGTGTGTATTACTTAATATTGTGTTGAATTGTCTTTGTTTCTTTGTCTACCAGTTGATTCAACAATGACAACTCTGCTCTTCATAGAAACGGTTGCGCACAAGCCTCCATCCACATACTGTATGCATATTTAATATATCTGTTTTGTTCTAATGCATTGCAATATTTTTGTGCCATTGGAACAAGATATAATACATTTTTATATGCAAGACAGGATTCACTGTAAACATAACATTGAGTATCATTTATCAGTTACCAAGTATGTTATTGAATTTTTTTATGTGTACATTTGTTGCTGGGAATCTCACAGGAATGTGATCTGATTTTAGGCAAACATATACATTAACTATTGTTTTCATTATAATATCAGAGCAACCAGTACACAACAGAACTGCACAATGTAGTAAACCGATTAAATGGCAAGCAAACCATAGCTACAGTCTTACATAACTTTAAAAGAAATTACAAACTGGTTTAAGTTATTGTTTAGAGATTACTCTTGGTTCCAGTAATGATCCACCCACATGTATTAATAAAGGCACCGATGAGATTGTGAGAGCTGCAGATCATCATCACTGTATTCAGCTGCTGAAGAGAGAATCTCCCTGAGTTTGCTCTGCAGCAGCATTTGATCTCAGGTAAAGTTATTTCTCTTCATTTCATCACATTGTGTTCTGGTTGTATGATTTATGGAATAGATGCAGTGAAGTTTTTCATAAATTGAAAAACTGACTTGGACTGAAATCATTTTATTATGTAAGAAGTTTAGAGTGAAAAGTGATAGAAGAGACCTCAAGGTAGCAGTGAATGCAAGAACAGTAGTTCACAGTAGTTTCAAGTTTAGTACAGATTATACAAAAAGTTTTTAATTGCAGAAAACCACAATTGATCATTCAGAGTCTAGTTGTTTTGTTTTTACAGGTCATTTTGTCATAATGAGGTTTCTAATCTCACTTTGTGTTTCACTGCTTCTGTTGGTTAATGGTGAGTACATTTATGAAAGTTGTCAGATTTCTGTCTCTTTTAAATGTCAGCTGACTAGATGCTATATTAACTCATGCTTCAATTTTGCATCAACAGGTGAAATAGTCAATGGACAAACATCAGGTACAACAATCATTCTTCAACTTATAGTTGACTTTATGATGAATCATAATCCCTTTTTCCCCCAGAAATAGAACGGCTCTCAGATAATGGGACACGTTTGATCCAGTCATCCAGTAACCTTAAGGAATGCAGGGAGATGTGTAGATGTAGTCAGTCTGTCAGATCCATCCTCAGTTTATCATCCATCCTTTCTTCCATATAGTTATTTACTTAAGCAGCATCTGATGTAGTTGATGCTGAACAAGAGAATGACAATATGTTTGGTTGTGATTGTCTTTTGTCTCTTTTCAACCTACAACTTCATTCAGAACCTACAACTTCTAGCTCTGATCCCTGCTATGATTATAACACTCTTGATGAATACTGGAGAGACATACGACAAAACGCGTATCAGTACTCTGGACATGATGACACCCTTGTTGAATGGAGTGGCTGGTATCGGCTGTCTTTGAACGGAGAAAGTGCTCAGATGTCTGAGTGGTGTGTGAGTAATATGAGATGTGGTGGTTACACTGGACTGTATCTCAACGGCTCTCATCCAACACTTGAGGATGGAGTGGTGACCCGTGAGGTTTTGGGAAATTATATATGGTCTCACCAGTGTGACAACTACACATCCACATCCATCCAAGTCAAAACCTGTCCAGGAGATTATTACGTCTATGAATTTGTCAAACCCAACATATCAGCCCCCATGCCTACATACTGTTCAGGTGCATTTATAGGCTCTTTTTATGAAATACATTTTTGTAGGTCATATGCTTGCTGTTAATATTATTTTAAAGCTGTTCTAATATTTTAAATGAACAATTACTAAAAAATGTACAAAACAAAATTTTAAATTGAATTGTGTCATTTCTTGTTCCTAACAAAATTGGTGATAATAATGTTACCCAGATCATACTTGTACAATGCCTGTTCAGAAAAAATAGTCAGATCCCTGTTAAACAGACTATTACATATAGTCTTGCTCCAAATATAACTTTACTTAAACCAGAAGTTGTTGTGTTGGACTCCTCAAACAAACTGTGGGAAATAAAATAAAATAAAAGTTTAGACTCTTTTGGAAAACTCACCCTTAGAATGGCTAACTTAAAGTTAAACTGAGATCGGAGAACGTATTTGAAAAAAATACACAATTCATCTGCAATGACATTTATACGTTTTATTTATCTCTTACACAAAAAGTGTTTGCATAACTTAACATTTCTCTTTTGTCCATGACAGTTGCTTTCAGCAGCATCAGCAGTGATCCCTGCTACAACTATGAGTCTCTGGATCGTCCCTGGAGAGCCAACAATGAAAGTGGAAATTACGTTTGTGATGAACGTTTCTCCTGGAATGGCTGGTACCGGCTTTTCTACTATGGAATGAACATCCAGATGTCAGAGACCTGTGTTAGTTCATACAGCTGTAACACATACTATACTCTGTGGCTCAATGGTCCTCACCCTCAGATAGAGGATGGAGTGGTGACCAGAGAGGTCTGTGGTAATTATTATTCAGATGACTGCTGTGATTACAAGACAAACCCCATCAGAGTGAAAGCGTGTCCAGGAAATTACTATGTCTATGAACTTGTGAAACCACAAACCTGGTGTTCAGGATACTGCACAGGTAATGTGCTTTTTCTCTCTTTCTCTTCCTCTTTCTCTCTCTCACTCTGTCTTTTAAACAAAGTCTTTCAAAACTTTTAAAATTACATAAATGTAATTCATGTCTCGAATGTTCTCCTTTTCAGATGTCAGCACCATTTCACGGTCGATTTCCACTGTAAGTCCAGATATAATTACTGGATCCAGCATTACCTTGAGTAAGATCTATCTATCTATCTATCTATCTATCTGTCTGTCTGTCTGTCTGTCTATCTTTTTTTGGCAATGAAAGTGAAATCTCATGTTTGTTTGTTAATGTGTTTGATTAGTTTAGATTTGCACTCATGAAGTTGCTCATTGAAATATAACTGGTCTGTTTTGGTCTCTCACTAACACAGATTATGACCCCTGCAATAACTACAACATACTTGACAACTACTGGAGAAGCACACTCAATTACTGGTCCATGTATGGATACATCTCTGATCATGATGACACTCGTGTAGAATGGGATGGCTGGTATCGGCTCTTCATTAATGGATCAAGTGCTCAGATGCCTGAGTGGTGTATGACTTACATGTCATGTGGAGGTTTTAGTTCTCTGTATCTTGGCGGCTCTCATCCTCAGCTAGAAGATGGAGTTGTTAATCGTGAAATTTTTGGTTCTCGTGATTATCAGTGCAGTCGCTACAGATCTGAACCAATCCAAGTTAAAGCTTGTTCTGGAAATTATTACGTCTACAAATTTACCAGACCAACTCTTTCAATCCCAGCTCCTGTATATTGTGCAGGTACATTCATTAATTATTTGTATTTTACATGCTTTTATATTGAGGTTTTCATAATATTATCTTGGAATAATTTATTTGGCACTATATAACAGTCTTTTTCTCTTTTTTTATTTTTTATAATAGTACCTTTCTCCACTCTAAGCATCGATCCCTGCTATAACTACACCAGTCTGGATGAGCCTTGGAGAGCCACAGACAATCCTTATTATAGTAACTATTACTACTATGGCATGTGTGACTATAATGTGGAGTGGAATGGCTGGTACAGGCTGTTCTACAATGGTCAAAATACTCAGATGCCAGAATCATGTGTTAATTATGGCATGTGTGGCACTTATAATCCGTTGTCACTCAACGACACTCACCCACAGCTGGAAGATGGAGTTGTCACCCGTCAGATCTGTCTCCCATGGGGTGGCTGCTGTGATTACACATCCCACCCTATAAGAGTCAAAGCCTGTCCTGGAAACTACTATGTTTACGAGTTTGTCAAACCAATGTTTTGTGGAGCTTACTGTGCAGGTAGATGGATCTAACCACATACACTTTGTTCACTATTGTGGGATTATTTTTTGGAAATGAGTGACATTAACAGAAATCTTTCTCATATCAGATGTCAGAGGCCTTAATGAGACATCAACCACTGGTAAAGTACTGTACTGTTTCACTAATATGCTAAGAGAGCCTTGGTGTATACTACTGTAGAAATGTTCGAGAAAAGTTACTTTTTTTTTCTCATGCTCACCAAAGCAGCATTTATTTGAGGAAAATAGTCCAAAAAATAATGTGTGAAATATTACAATAATAAAAAAAAATTATAAAAAAAATTAAAAAACAGATAATTCTTTTTGAATATATAGTAAAATGGAATTGATTGCTGTGATCAAAGCTGAATTTTCAGCATCATTACACCATTCAGTGTCACATGATCCTTCAGAAATAATTCTAATATGCTGATTTGCTGCTCAAGAAACATTTCTGATTATTATTATTATTATTATTATTATAAATGTTTTTAGGATTCTTCGAATTTTGAAATTGAAATTTTAATAAACATTATATATGTCTATACTTCCACTTTTGATCAATTTAATGCGTCCTTACTGAATAAAACTATGCATTTCTTGCAAAAAATTACTGATCCCAAATTTTAGAATGGTAGTGTATACATTTTTGACATTTACTTTCATATTTTGATAAATGAGTTTTCCACACTTTTATACACTTGAGTTAACATTGTTCTTTACTCTTGACATTTTTAATGAATAAACCAACTACAATAGCAGTCAATGGCCATATTTGTAACAGTGTCATTTTAGTTTATGCCCGTTAATTATTTTATTCATTTTGTGGTTTTTCTCCTTCAGAGCCCTGTGCTGAACTCAGCTGCACAGAGGATGAATGGTGTGGAGAGGAAAACGGCGTCTATGGCTGTTTGTGTAACGAGAACCAGACCAGACCAGATTCTTTTGGTGAAGCTCAATCAACTACAAAAACTTTTAAATATAGTTTTATAAGTAATTACTTACCTTTTTTTTTTGTTTATTCCGACAATGTTTTTATTCTCTCAGATTTCTCAGAAACCTGTGAAAGCAGCTCTGGCTCCATGTCTGTGTCTCGCTGTCAGCTCTTTGAGACTGGTTTTCCAGCTGACGTCTTACACCTCAATGATCCCAGCTGCAAAGGAACGGTCCGGAATGGCAGAGTGGAATTCCATTTTGATAACAATGAACACATCTGTGGTACAAATCTTCTGGTAGGATATATTATGTATAGGCCACTCAAATGTACTATTATCTCTCTGAATGTTTGATTAAAAAAAAAACTTTGAAAGAACACCCTTTTTATCATACCTGTGAATTAATGTTGATTTACTAATGCTGCTCTTGCTCTAAAGTTTTACATGTAAAGAAATACAGAAGGTAGTAGTTTTCTTGACAACTTAAAATTATTATTATTTTTTTTTTTGTCAATCAATCATGATCAGTGATTTAGGCAAAGCTCTAATCAACAAACACTTTAGATAGTGGTTGATGAGTAAAATAAACAGGTTGACATGTTTAAGTACTATTTCTGTGGTCCACAGGCCAACGGCACCCACTTAGTAAAATGGAATTGATTGCTGTGATCAAAGCTGAATTTTCAGCATCATTACACCATTCAGTGTCACATGATCCTTCAGAAATAATTCTAATATGCTGATTTGCTGCTCAAGAAACATTTCTGATTATTATTATTATTATTATTATTATAAATGTTTTTAGGATTCTTCGAATTTTGAAATTGAAATTTTAATAAACATTATATATGTCTATACTTCCACTTTTGATCAATTTAATGCGTCCTTACTGAATAAAACTATGCATTTCTTGCAAAAAATTACTGATCCCAAATTTTAGAATGGTAGTGTATACATTTTTGACATTTACTTTCATATTTTGATAAATGAGTTTTCCACACTTTTATACACTTGAGTTAACATTGTTCTTTACTCTTGACATTTTTAATGAATAAACCAACTACAATAGCAGTCAATGGCCATATTTGTAACAGTGTCATTTTAGTTTATGCCCGTTAATTATTTTATTCATTTTGTGGTTTTTCTCCTTCAGAGCCCTGTGCTGAACTCAGCTGCACAGAGGATGAATGGTGTGGAGAGGAAAACGGCGTCTATGGCTGTTTGTGTAACGAGAACCAGACCAGACCAGATTCTTTTGGTGAAGCTCAATCAACTACAAAAACTTTTAAATATAGTTTTATAAGTAATTACTTACCTTTTTTTTTTGTTTATTCCGACAATGTTTTTATTCTCTCAGATTTCTCAGAAACCTGTGAAAGCAGCTCTGGCTCCATGTCTGTGTCTCGCTGTCAGCTCTTTGAGGCTGGTTTTCCAGCTGACGTCTTACACCTCAATGATCCCAGCTGCAAAGGAACGGTCCGGAATGGCAGAGTGGAATTCCATTTTGATAACAATGAACACATCTGTGGTACAAATCTTCTGGTAGGATATATTATGTATAGGCCACTCAAATGTACTATTATCTCTCTGAATGTTTGATTAAAAAAAAAACTTTGAAAGAACATCCTTTTTATCATACCTGTGAATTAATGTTGATTTACTAATGCTGCTCTTGCTCTAAAGTTTTACATGTAAAGAAATACAGAAGGTAGTAGTTTTCTTGACAACTTAAAATTATTATTATTTTTTTTTTTGTCAATCAATCATGATCAGTGATTTAGGCAAAGCTCTAATCAACAAACACTTTAGATAGTGGTTGATGAGTAAAATAAACAGGTTGACATGTTTAAGTACTATTTCTGTGGTCCACAGGCCAACGGCACCCACTTCATCTATAGTAACTTTATTCTGGGGACACCGAGGTCAGAAGGTCTCATAAGCAGAGAGAAAATCCTTAAGCTTCCTTTCAGCTGTGTTTATTCTCAAACACAAACACTTTCCATGAATGTGGAAATCAACCCACTGGAGAGGTGGGAATCTTTTAAACAACAATAACTAAGCAGTATAAAAATTAACAGTATGAAAATTACGCATCTTGAACATTTCAACAGCATTGTGCACAGGACTCTTCCCGCTGGTGAAGGCAGATATCAGGTTCGGATGATTCCATATGAGGATGATGAGTTTACCCGGCCCTTCACTGGTAAAGTGGATGCAGAGCTCGACCAGAAGATGAATGTGGAAGTTCGTGTCGAGGGGGTTGACAGCCGTCAGTTTGCCCTGGTGATGGACACATGTTGGGCTACACCTGTGAATGATCCTGATTACAGTCTCCGCTGGGATCTCATCGTTACAGAGTAAAGCTGTTTCTATTACAGTTTCTAAACATAATCACCTTTAGGATTGCTCTAGGTACTTTGTCTTTCACTATTTCAGAACTAAAGCACAAGATTCCATTTTTTTTTTGAACATGCAATGCAAATGTGTGATGATTTACAGATAACTTTTGTATCGAATGTCTTTCAAATGAGAGAATTTGTCATTATTGCTATTCTCAGGTGTCCCAATTCAAATGACGACACAGTGGAGCTGCTGCAGAACGGCATCTCGACATCCAGCCGTTTCTCCTTCAGGATGTTTATCTTCACTGCTCCACTAAGCTATCTTCACTGCAAACTCCACTAAGCTTTACCTGCACTGCTCTGTTCACCTGTGCCTTCTGTCAAGCAATCGCTGCTCAACGGTGAGTTTACAAACATCTCGTGGTAATTACATTTTTGAATAATTGATCTTAAATGTAGTTGTAATTAAATGTAGATCAATTAAAATATGTATAAATGATGTTAAAATTACACTATGTACTTTTGGCCCCCTTTAGTTTTATTACAGGTACTGTTTCTTTCCCTTTTTGCTTAAAAACTGCTTTCAGTTTGAGGTTCATTTGTTGTGGCTTCAAGCTACGATGACACCTTCCACTGTATATAGTAGCCTGTCCTTCTGTTCTTTATTTATGGATATGACATAAACTTGCATGAACGAATGACAGAAGTACACCGTACAACAAATGTTATTGGGGTATATTTAGTATAGTATCTCAGTTATTCTACTTAAACGTCAAGTTTAATGCGATGTATTACCTGCCGTTTCTTTGTAATTATTTGTGCAAATAAAAGTACATTTCAATGGAAATTTCTTCTGTCATCTAATCAGTTGATAGAAACCAATAACAAATGCAAATAAAATTTATGCTAAAAAGCCTTGTAAAAAATGTGCATGCGCCACTCTGACAATAGAATTGGTGGGCTTGTCCAGCGGAAGTATTTTTCTCCGCAATTTAGGAGATTTAAAGGTGACCTATTATGCCCCTTTTTACAAGATGTAAAATAAGTCTCTGATGTCCCCAGAGTGTGTATGTGAAGTTTTAGCTCAAAATACCCCACAGATAATATTTATAGCTTGTTGAAATTGCCATTTTTAGGGTATGAGCCAAAACACGCCATTTTTGTGTTTGTCCCTTTAAATGCAAATGAGCTGGTGCTCCCGCCTCCCTTTTCAGAAGAGGGCGGAGCTTCAAGAGCTCATACTCTGGCAAAACAGGACAATATTATGCAATCTGATTGTACTGTGCAGTAAATGCGTGTTTATGAATTACACAGACGGGGAGCACGGCGCGATAAAAATAACAACATAGCTGGTCTCATGGTGCCTTTGCGTGCTATCACATTATGAGCTCGACAAATTCAAGCGGTCAACTTCACATTGCTTTCATTTGCAATTTTTAACTACCACATTCCTAATTACAATCATTCTGGTAGCACGTGAAGGCAGAGCACATTCCTAATTACAATCATTCTGGTAGCACGTGAAGGCAGCATCAGTGAAAACAGACAGAGACAATGGTAGCTTTAGCAACATTAGCCTTACAGAGAGCCAAGAAGCTCTTTTGGAAAACAAAATTTGATGCGTGATGCTTACTTTGTCTGGAGCTGACGTTCGCGCACGAAGCGTTGGTATCGATCCCTCTTTCAGAAACAATCTTTGCACAACTCCAGCTGAACTGATCCTCGTTTGTGAGGCAGTCCGGCATAAAATGATTAGCACAAACATATAGGACTTTTCAGTTTTTTTCCGGGACATTTCCTTCGTAAATTAAATTTAACCACCGTGTGCTCAGCGGTCTATGGAGACTCCTGTGTTCGTTGGTGCATCCCGAAACACAACACCCCTTTGGTGCTGACAGTGTATCTCCAGCAGCTACAGCAAGAAAACAGCAATGGCGGACTGCTGCTTCTCTCTCAGGGTGGGGTCTATGCTATTATAGATCAGAGAGCGTCACAAATGGGCGGGACTTTCCCTAGTATAATGTCATTATAGGGAGAAATCTGGAATCGCTCGTTTGGAGAGACTGTTTATGATTTATTGGGATTATAAAAAAACGAGTGTGTGGATTTTTACCATTATAGGCTGGTTGTTTTCACACACTGCAACCACACAACTGTTCAAACACCTTATAAAAGTGATTTTTGCATGATAGGTCACCTTTAACTTAAGGAATATCGATTAAACTACAGTGGCGCAATATTCAACTGTTAAGCCATTTAGGAACGTTTGTAGTGTCTTGTTGCAGGTTGCACTGGATTCTTATTATCGAGTTAATTATAATGTCCATGTGCACGTTTGTTAACGTAGTTGGTTTATTTTTATTATGCATATGAATAACCAAGTTAACATGTAGCTGAGTTAAACTATTAATATAGCTCACCGTTGAGTTTGCATGCTAAGCTTATTTCGTCCCAGATCGCAGTTTTTAGCGAACTGCATCTGTGTTGAAAACGCTTGTAAGTATATTTCTTAAACATATTATTATAGTATAGGCAGACTGCAGACATTTAATGTCAATATGAGTGCTAGAACTGTGTGAACTTTGGTTGAGATAATTATGCTTATTGCTTAACTTTGTTAAATGTGCTGAAATTGCTCATAAGGAACTATTAATTCACCATGTTTCTGCGTTGTTTTGGTGGGAAGAGCTCGAGACCAGTTTTTATTTAAAGACTGAGGACTCATCGTTTTTTAAGATAAATTGAGTTTATACTCGCTGTACAACCTATACAATGCTAAATAACTTTCCCATACTGTATGTGTATTGGCAATGTTACTTTATCTTACGTTTCATCTGTTCTTTTGCAGAACAGATTTTGTTTTATCTTTTAATGAATTAATACATTTAAAATTCAGACATTAAATACATTTCTTATGTAAAAAAAAGTCAATGTAATTGGGTTATGTTCAGATATTTTTATTGAACCCATTGAGTTGTAGTAATGTTATGCAATATTTAAGATAGTAGCATTAAAATGATAGTTTTTTAAGCAGCATTAGGCTACTTAAACTTTTACAAAGTGTATAATTTACTTTATACAGCGTAAGCTTTCTAATTAAAGCCACCAAGAATTGTGTGTAGCCTTTACTTTTACAACTTACAGGCAATTTTAGAGAGAAATTTATCCTTCAATTTTTTTTTTCCAGTGCATATAGTTTTCTGCAAAATACACATTGACAGCTCTACAATATAAATTATTGTAAGCTTGGCAAAGTGAAGGATAAAGCAAATGCATGGTTACAAGATGGATTTATGATGTATTTGCTTATTATAAAAAATTTGGTTGCTTTCAAACAAAACATTTACATAGTGTGGTTTATTGTTAGAACTTGAAACAAATGCTTCAATGTCAGTATGTAAGGTTGATAAAATACTTGTTCTGGTTGCCCTCTGCTGGACACTTTGTTCACTCCTTTCACAAAAGACTATTGTTCTGTGAACTGTGATTATATTTCAGTGACATTTGTTACACATCTCTTTTAGGACTGTAACTCTGAACACCACTGGAGAGAGCACAGGTCTCTGGACTTCCATAACAGTGCTTCCATATCCATGGGTCCTCTGATGTTGTCTGAAGGGAACACAGGTGAATATTACTTATTTTAATCAATTGTAAATGAAGGTTTCTGTTGATTTCTGCTGTGAATATGTTACATTTCATTGCATTATATTCCCTGTTCACAGATAAGTGGGTCCCAGAGCAAGTGAAGGTATCTGAGGCTTCTTGTCTGTGTGGTTCTCTGATGCTGTTGCTTGTTCCTCTGATGAGTTTCCTGACCCTCTTTTAGTATATTTCCACAAGAAACGTGTAGTGTTTTACATGCATATTGTCCTGTACCATGTTAATGAATGTGGCCACACTGGTTGTGGGTTTCTAAATATTTAATATAATTTTGTGTGGCCTTTGTTTGTTTATTTACAAGCACAAAAATAAATGATTCAGCAAATTAATAATTTATGTGAATTGCTATATACTACATTAATCTTATTTTACTTTAGATGTTGTGCTTTAATAACAAATATTTAAACCATATTTTTAATTGATGATATCAAACACATTTGTGTACTTGGATCAAACAGAATGAAAAAGTGATGCAAAGCTGAGGTTAGTTTTAGACAGGGGGAAAAAGACAATTACATTCATTTTCAATTAAAATAGTATTTCCAAGAAAACATGTTTAGATTTAATCTTTAATTAGAGAATTAAAAAAATTGAAGAAACAGCTGGAATATTATCCAGTATATCTAAGCATATGATGTGGAGATAATGCAGTAAGAATTTGGATGAGTAAACAAGCTAGCTTCATAGTCTTCCTTTTGTTATCAATTATTGTTTTTAGTAATGGCAAGAAAGAGACATATTGGCAATTTAATGGAATTGTTTGGCATATTTTCCTTAAAGTTGGTACTGTAATGGAATGAGAAATATCATTCTATTTTCATTTCTAATGGATTTGCAGAATGTTGCTGCACTGTTTGAATACGTCTTTCTTATAAGGTAAGATGTGTGAGGTTCGGTCATTCCTCATATAATATCCTTGTTTTTTCTAGTTTTAGTTTAATTTAAGAAGGTGAAGAGAAACTGACATTGAAAGGCTGGGTAAGTCATTTAGTGTCAGACTATTCTGATAAGATCATGTCCAAGCAGTCCTTTGACAATCTCTGAATATTTCTGCATCTTACTAAAGTACCTGGAAATGCATGTTTAGAAGCACTGACTTTAAGAGAGAGGCTGAACGTACGTCAGTATGTCCTCTTTCCTGAAAATAGCATCAGGCTGCATCAAAAATCACTTGAAATATTTTCTGTGACTTACTGAATGGAATCGGTTTGTGAGATAACGTTTTCAAGTATGTTTGTTTCATGTTACATAATTTAATAAGTAATTGTTTTAAACACGTAGTGATTATTCTACTAGTGGTCCCTAAGCGGCCAAACTACTGATAAAGACTATATTATGGTGTAGTATTATATTCAGTTGCCATAAGTTGTTGAGCAAGGTCATTGTAATATGATACACCAATTAATTTGTTTTACACACACACACAGACACACACGATATATAAACCTGTACACACACACACACACACACACACACACAGTGCGATATAAGTTAATAGGCAAGCTTGATAGTCTGATGTTGATTTTATGACTGTATATAATTTATAGATGATATGCAATTGTTGATCAGGGCTGAAAATGCCTTGTATTCACATGTGCATAATTATTAGGCAGTTCTTCCCCCTCTGTGTCTCTGAACTTGATATCTTTTCCTCCTGGAGACTTCAGGTAGGTTGCAGTTCCTGAAAATGGTGGAACTGGAGACTAATGGCTTCCTGGTAGTTTCAACTTAATTCTTTGCCTTCATTCTTAAAGTGTTTTGCAGTTAATGTGCGTCTTCTCAAACTATTTTTTCACAACTGGTCACAACTTTATTTTGAAAATGTCCAGTGTTGCACCCTTCTCATGGGCATTTCATGATTACAAGTTGCTATGCTCACATAAAACATTTACTATATCTTCAGGATTCATGATCGTAAACTTTTCATGTTTGGTGTCATTTTAAAGGTCTTTGTGCGATTGGTAAATTGCTTTCAATTTCAAAGTAGTCATTTGTATTATGAGAAAGATTTAAAACTTTTGTAGAATTGTGTTGTGCTGAGGAGGGGATGTGTCCCCCTTTAGGGGTCTGTGAGAATGTTTATCTATCTCCAGCCAGGTGTGACCCTGGATCACAGAACCAAACAAACAATTTGTGCGATTGGTAAATTGGTTTCAATTTCAAAGTAGTCATTTATATTATGAGAAAGATTTAAAACTTTTGTAGAATTGTGTTGTGCTGAGGAGGGGATGTGTCCCCCTTTAGGGGTCTGTGAGAATGTTTATCTATCTCCAGCCAGGTGTGACCCTGGATCACAGAACCAAACAAACAAAAGGTCTTTTATGTTTTTACAACTGATTTAAAGATTTCTTTGTTTCTGTTCTGGTAGTATTTAAGGGGAAGTTGCAAATCAGCCATTGCGATTCTGTAGCCAGAAAGCCCATAGTATGGAATGTGTCCACACACTCTATACTATGTATTTTCCTGAAGTCAGGTATGCATCCTTTGCTCTTAGATTTATCTTTGAGAATTTGATGTCTTGTATTGATTTGATATCTTTGAATTGATTATGTAATTGGCATGATACAAGTTTACCTGACAAATAATAAATTGTTATATTTGATTTATTCTGAACTTTTCTTGAAATCATTATGACTAGTAAACTGTGAGGAGGCTTTTGTTACCGCAAATCTACGGCCAGGATAGGTCAAACTGAAGGCTCATGAATGGTAGGAGCAGTAGGCACGTCATCGGAGACCTTCTGATTTCTGTCTATCGCTGATGTTAACAAGTTGTACGGGAAAGGACTAAGTGAATTACACTTTTTGTCATAAGCAAGCAGTAGGCGGCAGGCAAAACAGGTATTAGTCTACCTACACCCTCTGACTAACATCAGACTGGTGAATTTGTGATCATACCAGACCAACTCTTTCAATCCCAGCTCCTGTGTATTGTGCAGGTATGTTCATTAATTCTTTGTTTTTAATATGCTATCTTAAGTTGTAGTGAGGTTTTCATATTACCTTTAATTCATTTAATCTGCAGTATATAAAGTAATGCTCTCTTTTTCATAATAGTATCTTTCTCCACCCCAAGTGTTGATCCCTGCTACAACTACACCAGTCTGGATGAGCCTTGGAGAACCATAGACTATTCCAACATTAAAATGTGTGATTATAATGTGGAGTGGAATGGCTGGTACAGGCTGGTATACAAAAATCTAAACGCTAAGATGCCGGAATCTTGTGTTAATCAGTCCATGTGTGGCACTTTTAACCCACTGTCACTCAACGGCCCTCATCCACAGCTGGAAGATGGAGTTGTCACCCGTCAGGTCTGTTTATCAGTGAGTGACTGCTGTACTTACACATCCCACCCTATAAGAGTCAAAGCCTGTCCCGGAAATTACTATGTTTACGAGTTTGTCAAGCCTATGAGTTGTGGAGCTTACTGTACAGGTAGATGCATATAACCACATACACTTTTTATTTACTTTGGGTTATTTTTTTTGGAAATGAGTGACATTAAAATAAATCTTTCTCACATCAGATGTCAGAGGCCTTAATGAGACATCAACCACTGGTAAAGTACCAGTATACCATTTTACATGTATTTTCATTAAATGTATTTTCCCCCAGTTAATTACACTGTTACATTAGGGTGTAGCAAATTAATTACTTTTTATTTGATTTAATAAAGATGAGTAAGAATCACATTAGACATTTGTGGGTGTGTGGCACATGAATTGACATTGTTCTGTGACTCTATGAGAAATATTTTTTATGTATATGTTTACTGATGTTTTTTGTACATAAATTCAGAACATGATTTTAGTTTATGCCCTTGTTGTATCATTTCATTCATTCTTTGGTTCTCTCCTTCAGAGCCCTGTGCTGAACTCAACTGCACAGAGGATGAATGGTGTGGAGAGAAAAACGGCGTCTATGGCTGTTTGTGTAACGAGAACCAGACCAGACCAGACCAGATTCTTTTGGTGAAACTCATTCTATAACAACAAAAATATAGTTTTTTTCTTTCTGCAGTTTATTTAGTTATTATTATTATCATTAATAATCTTTTGGATGTTTTTATTCTCTCAGAGTTCTCAGAAACCTGTGAAAGCAGCTCTGGCTCCATGTCTGTGTCTCGCTGTCAGCTCTTTGAGGCTGGTTTTCCAGCTGACGTCTTACACCTCAATGATCCCAGCTGCAAAGGAACGGTCCGGAATGGCAGAGTGGAATTCCATTTTGATAATGATGAACACATCTGTGGCACAAATCTTCTGGTAGGATATATTATACATGCTAACGAAATGCATATCATCTCAACCTTTGTACTGAATGTTTGGGGAAAAAATCATAAAAGAATAAAGCACATTTCTATCATCTAAAGAGCTTTTAACGGCTTTTAATAAAATGTTCACTCACAAGAGAGTTTAGTCAAATCAATGATTTGAATGAATTAATGAATGAGGCATTTATATAGCGCTTTATTGTGTATTGCTGTACACCCAAAGCGCTTTACAATCATTATTAATGGGGTCTCATGATTTAAGCAAAGCTATTGTACAAAGAAAGAAACTTGCCTGTTTATGCAGTATAAAGGCATTTTTAACAAGAAAAAAAAAACAGATGAAATGGTTGTGGCATTCCCTTTTGCCACAAAGGTATGAAAACTTCATAATGCATTGGGATTGATCTGACTAGGGGGGCAGATACAAAAAAATGCAGAAAAACAACCTGTATATTTAACAAATGCTCTGGAGCTGTCAAAAAGACTAAATAAATTAAGAGCTCTCATTACAGTTAACAGAGAAAGAAGAGTAGATACTGTTAATTTTTGTATGCTATACTGACATTGTATCAATACAAAGCTATTTGAAAATATGTGAACATAATGAGTGAAATAAAATGATTGATATGTTCAAATAATATTTCTGTGGTCCACAGGCCAACGGCACCCACTTCATCTATAGTAACTTTATTCTGGGGACACCGAGGTCAGAAGGTCTCATAAGCAGAGAGAAAATCCTTAAGCTTCCTTTCAGCTGTGTTTATTCTCAAACACAAACACTTTCCATGAATGTGGAAATCAACCCACTGGAGAGGTGGGAACCTTTTAAGCAGGAAAAAATAATGCACAGTAGAAAAATGAGTAAATATTTATTCTAAGAACATATATATGCTATGGTCTTCACTGTTGTTTCTATAGCACTTTATACAATACATATTGTCAAAGCAGCTTCACAGTGTTAAACAGGAAAATAGTGTCAGTAAAAATACAATTCTGTTATAAAACAGCTCTAAAAACAGGACAATAGTAAACAGTCAGTTTTCATTTAAAGTCAGTTCATCGTTGATTCAGTGATGTCATGGTCCAGCTCAGTTCAGTTCTCTTCCAATAGTGTCTGTGCATTCAAGTTGATAATATTGCAATAATGAATGCTATTACAATATCTAAATTTCTAAATATAGATTGAGTGGAAATCCTGTTTTTTTTTTTTTATGAATCTTGAACATTTCAACAGTGTTGTGCACAGGACTCTTCCCGCTGGTGAAGGCGTTATTTTAACAGCATTGTGCACAAGACTCTTCCCGCTGGTGAAGGCAGATATCAGGTTCGGATGATTCCATATGAGGATGATGAGTTTACTCGGCCCTTCACTGGTAAAGTGGATGCAGAGCTCGACCAGAAGATGAATGTGGAAGTTCGTGTCGAGGGGGTTGACAGCCGCCAGTTTGCCTCGGTTATGGACACGTGTTGGGCTACACCTGTGAATGATCCTGATTACAGTCTCCGCTGGGATCTCATCATCACAGAGTAAAGCTGTTTCTTTCTTTCTTTTTTAAAGCTCATTCTTAACTGTAACTAACATAAAAAAAATAAAAAAAACATTTAAACTTTTGATAGATTTAATAAATAATTGACATCATTTTAGGATTCCTAAAAATTTGTATTTATCAATATTTCAGGACTAAAGCACAAGGTTCCATTTTTGTACATAGAATGCAAAATGTGTGATGATTTACAGGAAATCACTTTTGAGTTGAATGTCTTTCAAGTTAAACAATTTGGTTTGTTGATTGTCATTGTTAATATTCTCAGCTGTCCCAATCCAAATGATGACACAGTGGAGCTGCTGTAGAACGGCATCTCGACATCCAGCCGTTTCTCCTTCAGGATGTTTATCTTCACTGCAAACTCCACTAAGCTTTACCTGCACTGTGCTGTTCACCTGTGCCTTCTGTCAAGCAATCGTTGCTCAACTGTGAGTTTACAAAACTCACTAAAAGTAATTGATCGTGTCAAAATTAAGGTTCAATCAGAAAACAAGGATTCACAGTCAGGCAGCTATTTCAATATCATCTCCAAAAAAAATAAATCCGTATATAAGCATCGTCTCACAGTCAGTCTAGCTTCCTCTCCCCCATCAGCTCTGGAGCTTTTTAAACACTCTCTTGTCATCACTGAAAGTGGAAACAGCTGTTATTAATCAATCGACTTCTTTCTTTACCGCAGCTCCCACAGTCCTCCCCCATTTGCCGACCTCACTATGTATAATTAAATATATACAAATGATGGTTAAAGCTACACTATGTACTTTTAGCCCTCTAGCGTTTGAAGTGTAAATCTACACATTATTTTGGTAATTACATGAGTTGTGCTTTGGCTCCACTATACTGCACAGATGAATCTGATGGTTACAGATGATCACTGTATCAGTGTGAATGTCACTAACGAACAACATGTACGTATGAAAGAAAGATATCTGAACAGTATGTCTTACTAGAAGTAGCTTGCAAAAGTTTGGCAATGTTGACATTACACAGTGATTGCTTTTCATGTCATTTGAGGTACAATGGTGGAAACTAGTATAACTATTTATAGGCAAACAGACCAAAGCAGTAACTGATTTAGAGAATGGCATTGTTACCAACATAAACATTGTTTTGTGAATCTAGTGAATGTACAGCAAATGTGATGCTACTAAACAATTTCTGAAAAGCCAAGACTTTCACAAATAACCGTTCCAAAAAATGTACTCAGAAATGTGATTAAATATCAGCAATATTGAACGGGGATTTTCACAGCTGGATTTTCCCTTTTTGTTTTTTAGGACTGTAACTCTGGACACCAGCGGAGAGAGCGCAGGTCTCTGGACTTCCATGACAGTGCTTCCATATCCATGGGTCCTCTGATGTTGTCTGAAGGGAACACAGGTGAACATTTCATTTATTTTAATTATTTGTAAATAAAGGTTTCTGTCATGAATACATTACAATTCACTGCATTTCATTATATTCCCTGTTCACAGATAAGTGGGTCCCAGAGCAAGTGAAGGCATCTGAGGCTTCTTGTCTGTGTGGTTCTCTGATGTTGATACTTGCTCCTCTGATGAGTGTCCTGACCCTCTTTTAGTATTTTTCCACAAAAATGTGTAGCATATTACATGCATATTTTAATGGATGTGGTTGTAGTGAACTGGTTGCAGGTTTCCAAATGTTTGCTTATTTCATAGATGCTATGTGGCTGATCAAACAGGATGTAATGTTTTAAAGTGACACAAGACCGAGACATGCACAGGAAAACATTTCAAATTGTGTCCAATTAAAACAATTTTCCCAAGAATGCATGTTTGGCTTTAGACATTTCAGTTAGAGAATGAAAAAAAGCTAGGCTATTTCTGAATAAATTTTATGGCTTTGAAGAATGTTGCAAGTTGAAGTGTTATTTCTTATAAGATGGGGGTTAAGTTCATCCATTTCATAAATAACCAAAATTGTTCTTGTATTACTAGGTTTAGATTTTAATAAAAAATGTAAAGAGAAATTGAAACTGATGAGTGCATTAAATGTGTAAGAGATATTTGCATATGTTCATATGAGTAGTTTAACACTCTCTTTGTACCTGCAAATGAATGTTTTTAATTTGATTATTTTTGCCACTTGTGATAATGTGCATAAACGGCAATCAACAAATTTGACTGTTGCATGATAACGGAGAATGAAATTACTAACACTGTTATGTAGGGATGCACCGATACCACTTTTTCCAGTACTCGCCTGATACCGATACTTTAATTTTTGGTACTTGTCGATACCGAGTACCGATACCAATATTTTTATTGCATTTTTAAATTTTTTAAATATTGGGTACAGAAACCAAAAGAGTATGTATAATGTTAGTTGGTTAACTTCATTTATCAAATAGATACAGTCAAACCAAAATTTATTCAGACACCTTCAACATTTCTCACATTATCACAGTTTATTCGCTATAGTTTAGAAAATGGTAATAAAATGACAAAAACTCAAGAGTTAAACTGTGTCAGAACAAATTCAGCTTGATAATGTCAGATAACTTTGATAGAAAGGTATGTAATAGATTACAATCAACCAAAAATTATTCAGACAGCTGTCAATATTTACACAACTATCAATACTTTGTCGGGTGACCC